AAAAAAAAAAAAAACAAAAAAAGCAAGAAATAAAAATAAAAATTAAAAAGGAGGCAGTCTCCAGGCAACGGGCGTATGATCCTTCAGCATCGAGAACCCTAAAATCACCATCACTGCACCCCTGGAGGGCTTCAGGTCCTCCCTGGCCGAGGTTTGGTGGGATCTGCATCCCTGCCAGCTCCCCTGGCCAGGTGGGATCTGTGCCAGAGGCAGCCAGAGGGGTTCTCCCAATCCCAAAAAAAAAGAAAATTAAGCTTCAACTCAAGCCAGCACCCGCCCCATTGCCGACTCCCCTCCTTGGACATGCACCTTGCTAGAACATGCAAAAACACCCAGGCTGCGGGGAGGTGGGGGCTTTCCCTGGATTTGGGGGCTCCCTGGGGTCGGGGGTCCCCCGGGATCCCCTCGATCCCGGTTTCCAAGCTCCAGGTGGCAGCCGGGGAGGGAAGGGACGGGCGGGAGCTCGGAGACAAGCCCAGCTCCCAGGCGCTGCATTTGTGGGGGAAAAGGAGGAAAAAGGGGCAATTTGGGGGCGTTTCTGGATGGTTTTTTTGGTTTGCCGTGGTGGGGATCCGGGGCAGGGAATTCTGCTCCGAAGCTGTGCCCAGAAGAGGGGAAGGGGGATCTCAACATGGAGAGGGGGCGTTAATTGAGGGGGTAATTAGCACCCAGAGCCCCATCGCTGCTCCTCATCCCCTCGGGAGCTGCTTCAAAGGGAAGAGGGGACCTGGCTGTGTGACACCCACACCTGCCAGTGCCACGGGGACAACTTCCAGCCCTCGGCCACCACCTCTGGGGCTGGGGCAACCAACATCCAGCCCTTGGCCACCACCTCTGGGGCTGGGGCTACCAACTTCCAGCCCTTGGCCACCTTCTCCACCGGCCTCGGGGATAAGTGGGGACAAAAACCCCACCCGTGGCCACCTTCTCCAGGGCCAGGACAAGGAACATCCATCCCTTTTCCAGGGCTGGGACACTGGGAAGCTGCAGCTCCAGCAGCCCCAAGGATCGGGGGGTTGGATCTGAGCCCCCAAAACACGAAGCACAAGAAGTCCAAAAGGATTTTGGGCAGGGGGAATCGGTGATGCCAGAGCAGGAGAAGAGGGTGGGGGGACAAACTGCCAGCAAAGCAAATCCCCCTCTGTGATGGGCCGGGTCCTGCTGACCCCTCCCCAACGCTGGGAACAGGGGGAGGGTGCCAGGCTCGGGGTCCCGCAATTCCCATCCCAAATATCCCGACTAAAACCTGGCTGCTTGGGTGAGATCCCAGCCTGGGTCGGCACAACACGCCCGAACATGCACGGGCAGCCCCGGGCACGGTCCGTGTGCCCGGGTACCACACAGGAGGCCCTGAAAGGACAAAGAAATACTCACAGACAAAAGGCAATTTGGCCCCACTCCTCGGACTGGGGGGAGAGAAGCTCGCTCCAAACACTTTTCGCAAAGCGGTGGGTGTGTCAAAAAAAAAAAAAAAGGGATAACCCAAGAAAAAAAAAAAAAAATTATAGGCATGGAACACTTTAATACTGATAATGGGATTTCTTTAAAAGAAAAAAAAAAAAAAAAAAAGGGAAAAAAGGGAAAAAAAAAAAAAAAAAAAAAAAAGAGAAAAAAAAGGAAAAAAAAAAAAGAGGGGAAAGTGGAGGCATGTGACTGAAAAGCGTGGAAACCCAGCGGTCTGCTCACAGAATCCTAAACAGCCCCGTGGGATTAGGTGACGTGTGATGCTAAGACAATTTGAAAGCTTCCTGGGAAGTTGCTGTTTTCTGGGATCGCCAAGGGAAGACGGCAAGATCCAGGGAAAGCCTTGGCAAAGATCCCCTGGGAGAGGCTCAGCCCTGCCTGCGGCTCACACGGGAGAAGGGGGAGGCTGGAGGGGGCTGCTCCAGGAGCTGCTGCCTCGGCTCCCAGGGAAGGGAACCCCACAAAACCCTTCCCCGGCACCCCCAGGTTAGGTGAGAGAACGCTCAGAGTGCTCCAAAATCCCTGACAACACCCAGGGTGGTGAACCCTGGCAATGCCCAGGATCCCTGTCCACAACACCCTGCCAAAATTCCTGCCGGAATTTCTGCCTCCCTGCTGCCCAGTCCAGGGGGCTGTCACCAGCAGCCAGCCACATCTCCCAAACCCAGCAGTGCCCCACCCATCTTATCCCAAAATTTTGGCAGCAACCCCCGGCTCCAGCTGCGCACGGGAACGGAACAGCCAGGGGTGGGCGATGCCCAAAGCCATGCACCTGCCGTGGGACGGGGAGGTGGCACTGGGGGGCACCACGCTGTCCCCCCACACCCCAAACTGCTCGGCAAGGGCTGATTCCAGAGCTGGGAACAGGGAATGTGCCGTGGGCTGGGCAGCTGCAGGCTCCGGGGTAGAAATCACCCCCTCCTCCTTTAACACTAGGCAGCTTTCCCAAGGATCAGCAGAGATAATTCCTCGGCTCTGAATCAGAATTCCCAAGGGAATTCCGCTGCACAGACTGGCTGCTCCAAGAGGAAGAGCCACAACAAGGGGCAGCACTTCCCCCACCTTCTCCCCGTTTTCCTCTGGGACTCCTTCAGCTTTGGGATGGAGCTGAAATCCTGAAGGAAAAGGTGATGTGACTGGTGTTAACATCCCTGGAGCCCTTTGGAGCTACCTCTGGCTGTCACCTTGGAAAACAGGGATGGATCCCAGCAATCTGCCTTCCAGGGAATTTGGTTGCAGGTAGGCAAGAGGTGGAAGAAAACAACAGGAAAAATCTGGGAAGAAAACAGGAGTGTAAAGGAAAACCAACCCAACCGTATCCTGAAGGGAAGGACCTGCTTTGGAAAGCTCAGGCTAACTCCAAATTGTGCCAAAGCCAACGACCCTAGTTGCCTGGTTTGACTGATTTTTGTTTTTTTAATCCAACCCCC